AAAAAGTCTGACTTCACGAAAGACAAACAACTTCCCGTCAGAGATAAGCAAAATTCTCGCCTGGATAAACTGTTCATCGGTTGAACGATATTAAAAATTAAAAATCTAACCCTTCCAATCGAATGTATCCAACGTTTGCCTATCGTTGATTCTCGGATTTCTAGGAAAGAGGAGTTGAGAAACGCTGTTCCGGTGGCCGCAGCGTTCAGAATAAGAGCGTCGAATCAACCGCCAACGCGAGAGCTCTATCGTGTCGCAGGGTGAAAGAGCACTTATTCCCCCGATGACGAGCCTCGAGTGGGACACCTAGCCTAAGCTCTGCGGGTTCGTGTGGCTCGATTCTTCGGCGTGGAATCGAGTCCCGCGGTCGTCCTTCCGCCGAATTCCGGCAAATTCGCCCCGCCGTGAACTGCACCCGGGGTAGGGGAATACTGGAACTTCCGGCGGGCGAGGTTGCACGGCAGAGATACTCCCTGTTCGATGCTGGCCGGTGAACGACACGACGATGGAAAATGATCGAGGGCGAACACCGCTATCCGACGTCCCAATTTCCCAGACAGTAACCTGTCCCGCCAGCTGGCACCCTTCGGGACATCAGGGTTTTCCCTCGTGATCCGATACCCGGACCCTCTCTTTCCCTCGTTCGCTCCTGTACACCACGTACCGGGATTATGGTTCGGCATAAATCTACTTATAACGGCCGGCAACTATTCGTCGACGCCGGGGACTATTTCACGAGCTCCTCCGTGACATAAACGCACGGCGTAAATCGTGGCTCTTCGACGGACAGGGGTTACCCACCATCCCCGATTACCCTCTATCTGGAAACATATCTCTGGACCCGTCGTTTCTCCGCAATCTTCGTTTCCCTCCTATCTGGACCATCGAAATAGCACAGAAGCCTTTTCGATTAGGGGAACGCGTCGGGGATCTAATACGGGGGATCTTTTTACCGTATAGAGAAACTGTAACATCAATTTTTCTACAATTTTCTACAACTTGATTGGCAACAATTTGATTTTAGACGACTGCTAACTCAAGATTTTGCCCTAGCACTTATTTTGGTAACCTCTACTATACAGGTTTATTTTCGAACGTATAGAATTAACTTTTAAATTTTGTCGTCGCGGTACAGATGGATTTACAATGTAAGATATAATTGAATTTGATTCCATCGTAAAAGTATCTCTGTGAAATCCTGTGTCTCCTGTACCTGTTCTTCTTCGAGGGGTAATGTAATTATAATCGAGGAACACAGTGTCACGGATTCCTCTTCGAACGTCGATGTCCCGGTATTTCAAAGGGCGAAGACCCCAGGGGGCAGCTGTCGACCAGAGGAAACTCCGCGCTAATTACTTGGACTCCGATTAACCCTGCGATCGCAATATATCATTGAGAGAAGGGTGGTCTGGTGAAAGACACCGGATTAAGGGTAACGAATCGATCCTTCCCATTCCTGTCGTTTATCAAATCGAGAACCGACTTGCCTCTGTCAGGTTCGTTTGTTTTTCGATGGGGGGAGGGGTCGGACGATTAGACACTGTCTGAGGCTTCAGCGTGTAAGCCGCTGTCCTTTACGGGGCGATCGTTACGAACGGTCTGCCATAATTGCACACGGGGATCCGAAAACAGTGACACTCGAGCATCCACAGGTCCAACGATCGTTTTAATGGCGCTTGCCATCAATTTTACGACTATATTCCGATAAATTAAACCTTGTAGCGGGAAATCACCCGGATAAGGGTAGTATTATAACAGAGAAATATGAAATTTGTATCTACTTGGAATTAAATCGAGCGCCAAGGAGTTAAACTGCTGAAGTTTCACTAAATATTTTCCAAGCATTCGATTACACGTCGATCGAATATTTCCTATATTCCGATAAATTAACCCCTTAACGTTCATGCCCGAGTCTGACTGCTTTGAGAAACGATATTTGTTTTAATTGTTTAAGGGATGATAATATTTGTTTTCCTTCAAATTATACGTTGGATACAACATTGTAATTAACAAAAACCGCATTTTTAGAAACAAATCCAATAAAGAAAACTGATCATTCTTGGTTAACCCGAAAAATATGAGCGTTAAGGGGTTAAACCTTGTACTATATGAAAATCACCCGGATAAGGGTAGCATTATAACAGAGAAATAAGGAATTTGTATCTACTTGGAATTAAATCGAAAGCCAAGGAGTTAAACTGCTCAAGTTTCACTAAATATTTTCCAAGCATTCGATTACATGTCGATCGAATATTTCCTAAAGCAGACCTCTGGCCCTTGCTAGAAAATTTCGCCAAAATCAAACGGTTCGTAAATAAACCACGGAATTCCCATTCGAGCTAGCATATAGTGGAAACTACCCCCTCCACCGATGGATCGTTATCGGTAGACAGCGAGTGTTTCGCGACGCGACAACCGTTATACATATTTATACGCACGCCAGTTTGTAACTGGATGCTCCACGGGGGAGGGTTTGAAGGGACGAAGAAGGCGAAGGTTGAGAGGGGGCGCTTCTGGCTCGTAACCCGTACGCAAGAGGGTAGGAATACCTATGCGCCTCGGTGGATGCAGCCGCCATACGACCAAGTTAAGTAACCCAGTTTTCAGGATCCGGGGGGGGGTTGCTGGAGCCCCAACCTAGCTGCCCCAACCTAGGCTGCCAGAGAGAGTGTTTCGAAATAAAGTACGGTACATTATAGCCCGGAGTCGTTCCGCACACATTCAGAAAGGGACACGAGAGGGGTGGTAGACGCGCATGCGTTCGCACACTCGACGAATTTCAAAGAGAAACATACGAACGGACCAGCGGTACAGGGGGGTGGTGGGCGGAGGGCAGAACGATATGGAAGGTGATAAAAAGACGATGGAGGAAGGAGGAAGAAGGACGGGTGGAAAGGGGGAAGCAGAGCGAGGGGGGTGGGCCGATGCGCCTCCGCCCCTTTCAAGTGTTATCTTTGAAATTGCGTTCCGCGGGAGCGTTATTAAATTAAGTAAACCGCAAAAAAGTTTCTTTCGAGCCGGCAAGCCCGGTGCGCGACGGTACACTCGCGGTGTAGTTACAGACTGAGCCTCACTCGCGGCATATATGGGAATTAATACCCGAGGAAAACCACCGACCTGCGCGCCCCTTTCATCCCTACCGCGACCACACGCACATAGAACCGACAGCCGGCATCGACCTTCTAACCAGCTCAGGCAGACTACGGTTCCATAAAAAGGCGCTTTTAATTTTGCGATCGTAATACACGAAGCTTTGCTCGGCCAGCTGCGACGAGCTACCCTCCGGAATCGTGGCTAAGACTCCGCAGCGGCCGACCAACGGCTCTCGCTCCGAAAAACGCGAACCTTCCGACTGTTCTCGAGCGTTTCTCGTTCTTTTTTTCGTTCCTATTTTCCGCGAAAGTTTCTCAAAAGCGATCTCCTTTTTATACGGCGTGTTTCGCCGCGCGCCGTTAACGACAGAAAATTCAAAGAATCCCCCCTCGGTTTGTAATTAACGGGGACCGTTGAAGACTCGATGTAGCGCGATCCGTCCACCGTCCAATTACGCCGATAATGAAATCGCCGGTCCGGTTAACAGAGGTCGAGATCACGCTCTTTATCGTCGATTTTCCTCGACTAATCGTAACGTCTTCTTTTGCTCGCTAATTATCCTGGGGAGGTGGGAGGGAAAGTTTCGCGACTTTGCGCCGCGCAAAAAGAAACAAAAGTACGACGACTTTCGAGGAACTCGACGAACAATTTTCCCCCGGTAATAAAGGACGCCCTTTAAAGCGATCGAGTCCCGCGAAGAGGGCCCCTTTGATGCTCGCCGGCTGCGAAACTTTTTATTCGTCGGAAGTTTGACAGTTTCGCGAGCCCGTGGTCCGCGGAAAAGGGTTTCGATGTCGGCCCCCCCCTTCTATCGAAGTCGCGAAAACAATGGCGGATCTCGAGGACGCGAGAAAATCGATCCCTCGAGACGTTTCTTCTGCTTTCAAACTATTCAAAATACCAAAGTATCAATTAAATATGTAAAAGAGCCCGGTTACTTTATAACGCGTGCCCCGATCTCGCGATTGTTCTACATTAATAAAATTGGCCACTTCGTGCCACGGATATAAACACCTGTCGGCGTTTCAATTTGATACCATTTTTCTGGGCAGAAATATCGCCCCTCGTTTCCTGGCAAATTAAAAGAATATTGTCGACGACAACGCGAAGCACAGACGAGCAATCGTACACTCGTGGTACGCGAGCTCCAACTTTTACAACGGTGGTTTAACGACCGACTTTAATTCACTGTTCTTTTTACGGGGTCAGATATCGACGTATAAATATTCCAACATGTTCCAGCACGCACTCCCGACGAAAGTTTATAGAGCCGTCGGTTTGCTATCGCAAGCTTTACGCCCAACGGAGGGCTCGTGTGTCCCATAAAACCTGTCAGCCGGGAAATTCAGATCACCAAACAGATTCTGTCCTTTATTTCTCTACTCTGACCCTCGAACGTCACTGGCAGTCATATCTGTGCAGGGAACAAATAGAAATGTCACGCGACTCTAATCGGTAAATAACGAATAAAAGAAATTATTCTGGGGTGTTTTGTGGTTGCAGAACACCACTGGAGCCTTTCGAGACCCTTTATAATAAATCAAATTCCTTTTATGAGGTCGCCATACTTGTGCAAGAAACGTACGAATCGAACAATTTTAATTCTCAATCTCGTTGAGTGAAACGTTAATGTAAATGTTACGCGACTCTGATCGGTGAATAACGAATAAACGAAATTATTGTGGGGTGTTTTGTGGTTGCAGAACATCACTGGGATCTTTCGAGACCCTTCTTGTATAAATAAAATTCCTTTTATGAGGTCGCCATACTTGTGCAAGAAACGTACGAATCGAACAATTTTAATTCTCAATCTCGTTGAGTGAAACATTGATATAAATGTTAAGTGACTCTAATCGATGAATAACGAATAAAATAAACGATCGTGGTTGTTTGTTTTGTGATTGCAGATGCGCGGAAGGCTTCACGGGTCTGCGGTGCGAGACGAAGGACGTCAGCAGCACCGGAAGTGTGTACAACAGGCGTAGGGCGCCGTTTTCCTGCAAGCTGGGACTCTCGACCTCGTACTACTGCTAGCGATAATCGCGCGGGGCCCTTCCAATTCCGAGCTCGTCCTTTTTCTGACGTTCGAACCAAAATGGGGGTGGTGCTCGGTTAACACAGTCAGTCGAAACAGCCCCTCGATGCCCACGAGAAGAATAGTCCGTGAGAGGGCCAACGCGCGACCAAGAAACCGAACGTAGAGGCGATAAATCGATCCGCGGATCGAACGTGTGAGAGCAGCGCGACGAGACGCAGCGATTAACGGGGGTGAAACACGAAAATAAACGGGAAAGCGAATTCTCGCGCATGATTTTCGAGCAACCGTTGTTGTCGGGCATTAGAACGAGTCCTTCCGTATTGTAGGACCAGGTTCCAAAAAGATCAATTTTGGCACCGGGGCATTCGTACCTTCTTCGTTTCTCATACTTATTACCGTCTTCCTCGACTTCTACTTCCTCTACTTCTACTTCTACGACTGCTATCGTTACACTCTCTCTTTTTAGAAAATGTCGCGTCACGACACCGTTGCCTCGCGGTCCCTATAGAAATTTTTAACTCGCGAGCAATCCAACGATGGAACGAACGTGTGCGTGCGCGTGCGTGTGTGTGTATGGTTGTATCTTTACGCGCGAAAGGGTGAACGTTGAGAGTGGATGAACGAGCGCGAGAGAGAAAACAGTTATGGCGGATTCCCGCCTCTCCCGGATCCCCTTCGGTTTCGTATCGGGAAGGCGGAAAGGAGAGCGTTTCGAGAGCGACGCTCGTGATTCAGAAATGGTGCTTGACCTCGAAAGATCGCGGGTCGCCGATGATAAACAAAAAGAAAAAAAAACGAAAAAAAGAGAATGGAGGTAAAAAACGATAAAAAAGAAAACAGGAAAAAAAAACGAGGAAGCTGCAGGCAGAAGGGCGTGTTCCGGAGGTCGCACTTTTCGGAGTCTCCGCGTGGAGAACAATACCAAAGAGCCCAGGGTCTCGATAAAGGACGTCGCGAGAGTAGTCGAAACACTCGGGAGATCGTTTAGGTCGATACGCTTACAGAAAAACACACGCTGGAACAGCGAGATCTGAAACTTTACGAGCATTAACCGTTTCGCCAGCGATGGGAACGAGACCGAACCTCTCAGAGTTGCTCGATCTTTATTCGCGAACAACGAATGAAATTTTTAATTCGTCGTTCGCGGACTTGAAACGCGACCTGTTTGTCCGAGATTTCACCATCTCGAGGGCTAAGGTCTCGAGAGCCCACTGAGGATCGAGAACGCATCTCGAGGTCCGCGTCGACTCGTCGAAAGGTTCGAGATCTCGCGAATTCGAGAATCACGCGGCTGGATATCCATCGCTGCTCGTCCTCGGTGGCTTCCCTTTCGTCGAAATGGAAAGGGAGCGTCGTCGTCGTTGCTGTTCGCGGGAAGAGTCGGGTCTTTTGTCGGTCGTTGTTGGAAAATGTGGGCCACGCCGGTGGAGCGTGAAGTCGCGAGCGAAAGGAGACGAAGAAAAGAGGTGGATAGGTCTGTCGCGAATAAACCTGGACGTAACGACAACGGGAACGGGAACGAGAGAACTCGACGATGTCGCATCCGTGGCTGTGTCACGGTTCGCGGACTCTGCCTTCCGAAAATTTCTTCGTATTTTTACGCGCGTCCAGACAATTCGAGAATGGCGCGGATCGATCTCGCGTCGGCTCAAATAAATGTATCTTGCTCGTCCGCCAACGACGAACTGAACCCACCAAATGAGTGGTTGACTATTTTTATTGGGTAACCGATCGAGCATTTATTAATTTATTTATTTATTCGCTATTTAAAAAAAAAAAAACAAAAACAGAATACAAGAAACTGTATTTTTTAGGAGCAAGATGAAGTAAGGCTGAATAGGGCTGTTTTACAACCTGACCCAAAAGTCGAATCCGAAACTTTTTCGCCCTCGTTCGCGGGTCTTCTTTTTGAATAAAATTCTGAACAACTCTGGCGAACAGTCATCCTAGTAACTAACTAGGACGAGTGGTACAACGTGCAAAAGTGAGTCGAAAATATAGAGTAAAATTATATCGTAGGACGCTTCGTTTTTCGAGGTAATTTCATTGAAATGTTTTTGGGGCACGCGAGTCGAACTTGGCACAATTTCGACTCGATGATACCAATTTACGACACATTTTAGCAATTTTAATAACAGTATTCATCGCAAGAACGAAGCATCGTACGAAAAAATTATATTCTACGTTTTTTATTTATTTTTCCATGTAGAATTAATACCCATTTGTATATATATAATAAGGCCTGAAACTAATATTCAAAGCCACATTTTCTATTTAAATTACTACAAAATTATGCTCAAGGGGAAGTGCAACCAAAGTCGAGGACGTTTTGGATTTGATCGATAAATGTTTCATTGGTTATCCAGAGTGAAATTACTAAATTCCAGACTCGAACTATTCGCGAGGATACATCGAACTCGATCCCGCTCGCGTGGGAGGGCAGTTTTCGGGCCAGAATTTTCCAGCAACGATTGATAATAACCTCTTCGGCGAACGTAAAAATAACACCGAGGTAACCGAGGAAAAACATTGGCCCACTCGAGCGGCGAACAATTCGACACACAGAGAGCGAGAGACCACTAGGCAAAAACGATTTTATGTAAAATATGATAATGTAATACGCGCTAGGCTAGCTAAAGCAGAGACTTAAGGTAGTTACGATCACAATGATCGAAAAGGGATGGGGCGTGTGGGAATACACGCTGTACTCCAGCAGTCTCGGGACCCTATTTATGTTTTATATTATATTATATATATATATATTATATATATAAATATGTGTATAAACATTTTTAATTTATTTATTTAATTCATTAATTTTATTGATTTACGATTAAACGACATCTCCATCTTGGCAACCGCCTTTGTTTTTAACCTTATGTTCACCTTTCTTACAATTTTTCTTTCTTTCTTTTTATATTTTCTGTGCGTTTTTCTACGCGTCTAACGTTTTAACAACGTTCGAACGAACTCCATTTCACGTGTTTGTCATGCTCGTATAAAACACAGAGAAATAACAGCGATCATTTTGCAATTGGAAAAAAGTATTCAACGTCTCAAACTCTGCATGGCAAACTTTTATTATTCGAGCACTGGACGATGGACTCCAACGGGTCAGTTTTACGTTTCCTCGATTTTTCTCGCGAAAAGGTAGGTGCATTTATTTCTTTTTTTTTTCTCTCTCTTCCGTTACGTTCGATTACCGTCTCTGAATCCCCCCTCGACGAAAGTTCATAGACTTTGGCGACGAAAGAATACTCGAAGAAAGCCAATAAGAAATTTTCATAGCCGGGGAGTTCCGCGTTCGGTCTCTTGTTCGGTCTCTTATTGCGTTCCGGCAAGTCGTTTCGAGACGGCTCGCTCGTCTAGCCGTTGGAAATAGCTTCCCGACGCGGTTCCACCGTCCTCCTGGATACGGAAAAACAACGCGAAAGCGAACGAGACGACGCCCCCCCTTCTTCCGTAATCGTCAAAGAACACCCAGCTACAAAGTAGTTCGCTGGAAAATGGTCTGGCCGCGTCCAAGACCTTGTGCGTGCAGTACTCCCTCGCTATTTGCATCAATCTGCGTTACGAACAGTTGCAACGGAACTATCCCCCCCCACAGTTTGCTCTTCTCCAGATTCGAAGACGGGCAAAATATTGTGCCTCGTCGATTTCTTCGTTATTATTAATATAAACATTAACCCAATAATGGAAGGTATAGATCAGCCATTCCAAGGTGCAAAACTTTCGAATAAAATTGATTCTGTTTTCTAAAGTATCGATCTCCGTAACGTTGTTTCAAATTCCAAGTATCTTTCATTCGATCCTTGGAACGTCCTCTTCTTGGACGATTGCTCGCAAGTGGTTCCTCCAAAAGCTCGAACGGCTTCTCTCAATTCCATAAATATTTCAACGTTGGTTTCGATCGATAAATCGGTGGCCAAGAACCGGAGACTACTTCGGTATTCACTGATCGTCGCCGGAAAAGCTATGGATAAAAAAAGCTTGGAGGCGGTAACCGGTTAGCAGGAAGTGTTCTTGAAATTTCCACGAAATTAATTTCCGGAATTACTTTATTATAGAGAAATTTGAGTCCCCCGGTGAACGAAGTCTACGATCTTTTAAGCTCTCTTTTTTGCTTCGCGAAGTCTTTATTGGGTTTCCTGTCTTGAGAAATCTTCATGGATGATCTAACCGTTGCTTCAAAGAAGCTTCTTCGAGCTTCGACGACCAGGAACATTGAGAAACTTCTCCGAGCGCTTAGTCTGGGCGATCATTTTTCTACCGCCACGAGGGCGAACCCTTCCGAAAGAATTCGAGTTTCTCGAGGCAAGTGGGCGCCATTGAAAGGGAACCCTTCCGGAAGAATCCCACTGTCCCAAGGCAACAGGACACAATGGCGAGTACGCGTACAAAAGAAGGATCGACCGAAACCTTGCGCACTTGTTACTTCTTTAACGTCCTCTTCCCGTTAAGGAAACGCCGCGGCATTCATACTTGACTATATGTACAGTGCGTATGAACCATCTTAAATTCACTTCGAGGCGAACGCTGAATACGATAAACCTCATCGTTGGTTTTATCCACGATAATTTACTTTCTTCTGTTACTTCGTAAATATGATATCCTTACGACCAAAGAAAATACGATAAACGATAGATTTTTCGTAAGTTAATGATTTTTAATTTTTGAATTCAACGTCATCTAACGTTTCATCCGCGCCATTGATAGCTTCAATTGTGCCAAGAAAACAATTATAAATATATATACAAGGGGGTACAATAAACCTAAACGTACAAAAAGCTGACTTATAACCAGGACTACAATTTGGACTAATGGCTCGACATAGAGCTCGCGTAATCTTAACCCTTTTAGTGCCAAACGACGATATATCGTTGCGTATGCGATGGTGCCTTATTCTTCGCATTAGGAGAAAGCTCTGT